GCAGGCCTGTGGTTTGTGACTGGAAGGTTGGGCTTGGGGTTGTGCAAGGGGAAAGGGCCTCTCCTCTTTTCTCTGCATGCCGAGACCTCCCTTTGCATGCCTTAGCTTGCTGAAGTGGAGTCTGGGTAGAAGGAGCCTAGGAGGCTTGCTAGGCACTCATGCCCAGGTTAATATGCAGTCATGGATTCCTTAAATGGGATGGCCAGCAGGGCCTGCCAGCACCTGCTTTTCTCTGTTTCATCCCATCTTTCTCATTTCATGGGGTCTTTACAGCAAAATGCAAAAGCAGGCAATGATTTTTATGCGCTGCTAAAATGTCATAATGTCTCCACATAGAAGTTATCTGGGCATCTAATGGGGTCTTTTCTGCGATCAGTGTATTCAGTGTCACAGCACTGATTTAGCTTAAATGCAAAGCATTTATTCATGTATTCCAGTGTAGCACAGGACGTTTGCTGAATTTTTAACTCCATGGAAAGCTTTGGGAGAATCTGAATCCTCCCTGGTAAAATCACCTGGGATAAAGAAAAGACTGAAGTCCTTTAAAGACTCAGCTTTTCAAAATTTCTCAATTTTCAACTGATTATCTGTCTTGCTTGGAAATCCCCACAAAATACAGTGTTGTCCTCAAAGGATAAATCCTGCAAGTTTGGGGCAAATGTACTCTTCACAGAAAATGAGGGATCTGAGCTGCAGAATTACCTGGGGACTGTCATGTGTGATTCCTGCACTGACCCCAGGGGATGGTCACCAGGAGAAAGCTGCAGCTCCATGAGACATGTTTTCCTCAGCTGGCCCAGCCTGGTTACCAGAAGTGCCCTTGCCTCACCATGACGTTGTGTACACCAACACCCAGAGCTGCCTGCAGTTGCTTTTTCCAGCCCACGCGCAGGCAGAGGGTGAGAAAAGTGTCAGTGCTCCGTGCCCCGGCAGAGAGGGACTCCCAGGTGCGTGGTCATAGGCAAAGTCAGCGGTGCCAATAATTTTAGACTAGAGGGACCATCTTTGTTGTGGCAAAGATAAATAGGGGACTTTATAGAAAAAAAGCAACATGAGGCTGTTTTGACACTCCTGGATTTGGAGGGCCACCGACAATATGCCTCAGAGCTTTTTGCAGGACTGTTGGTGGAAAAAATGTGCAGATCCTGTCATACCTGCTGCTTACAGGGCGGGGCAAAGGACTCCAGGCCCACCAAGAAGGACCTTTCCCTTCACGTGCATTGCTTTGTGGGTTGCGTGCAAAGCAAGGTAATACAAGGTAAGATCAAAAAAAGGCAAGGAAGTTCAGAAGGGCAGAGAAATGGGGAATGGAGGGGAAAGAGAATGGCTTTGGGGTTTCTGTTTGCCAGGAATTATCTGAAGGTTTCCAACAGTTCAGCACTACTTCTCTAAAGCATAGTGTGGTCTTATCCTGCCTTTTATAGTCAAATGTCTCTGCAGGACTTCTGTCCCAGAGGCAATCTGCTTTTCCCGTACCACCTGACTGTATGCGTGGTCAGGATAACCAAGCTCTCTGTGGCCGGGGAATTTCTGAAAAACTTGGTCAAGGAGTGAAAGAAATAGGGATATGAGCTCAACAGTTCTCCCGCTTGCTGTCTCTGAGAGCAAACAAGAAAGGATAGGTTTCCTCTACACACACTGTTCTGTTCTCATTAGCCCTGCCATGTGAGGCATCTGCAGCACAGGCATGGTTTGAATGAAACATGTTTTTCTGCCCAGGAAACAGAAAGTTGATCCTTTCATTGGTTTAGCATTGCCACACACTGAGGGCTTCCAGTGACGGAGCAATGTGGGCACACAGCGAGGGAGTGGATGGGCTGCAGGGGACATTGGAAGAGGAGGGATATTTTTTTCTAGAAAAGTCATTAAAAATTATTTCCACAGTGGATACCTCCCCCACAGCCTGGTTATGGAGAGCATTCAGCACAGAAATGGGACAGAACTGAATTTTCATTTTTGCTTTGCAGTTCACCTTTAAAGTGAAAGGGGACTTTTGTGGGGCTGAATGACTCTTCGTGGACTTTGGTTCCTTCAGCCTTGCAGCATTCAGGTTGCAGTTTCAAGGGTGCAGAGCCTTTTAAGGGTAGATGTGACATCAGCAGGAGTTTCCAGCCCCTGCACATGTACTGCTGAGGAGGTTTTTGTTCTCCTTTTGGTTGCAAAGGAGACTCTTAGGGGCAAGGCACGGAGAACCTCATGCAACTCATGATGCGATGTCACCCTGACATTTACTGTACGCCTACTCTTCCCCTATTGCTGCAAAAGAAAATAGAAAATTGTCTTTATCAGGCTCCACAATCCAGAATTTTGACTGGCTGCTTTTGTGAATCTCTCCAGCAATAGTAAGAGCTGAATGGTGAGAACGAGCAAAGATGTGGTCGAGGGGGAAAAAAAAAAACACACACACACACACACAAATGCATGCAGACACGCAGGAGGAGGAACGTCAAGAATCACAGCCTGAAGTGGGCTGCTTTTAAGGTGAACAGAAGGAAATGCTTTTTCATACACCATGTAATCAAACCATGTAACTCATCATCATAGGTTGTGGTGGAAGCCAGAAATATACGTGCATTCCTGAAGGGGCAAGGACTCTTCGTGAAGGGTGGGTCCAGCAGTAGCGATTAAACTGCCCGTGTCAAGAAATCCCCAAATTCATGCCTGCCAAAGGTTGGCAGGGTGTGGCAGTTCTTACGCCCCGCACGGCGCGGAAGAACCGTTTTTTCTACCATTTTGCCACCAGTTGCTGGCTGACACAGGTCAGCGGGCTGAGTGGGCTCTTGGTCTGCCCCAGTCTGGTTGCTCATAGTCTGCGATGCATTGTAAGGGGAAGTACAGGTAGTGGTAGTGGTGGGGGAATTGTGTTTGAATCTTTCCCTTGGGAAGACCAATGAAGTGGCTGAGTAGATGGAAACCTGTTAAATGAGAAGTTGCTCATGGAATTACATATTCTAGTTAATTAGTATTAAAGCATTCCATAACATCGCCAGGACCTCCCCAGTATTTTTCAGTGTGTTTCCTATGGATTTAATGTAAAGCGTGTGCGTGGGACAGGGTTAGGTGTGGCACAGGGGAAGGGGGTGAAAACTTATTTCACATTCTGTCCCAGGCTCTCTGCCTGGGCTAAATCTCATCAAGCAGCCCCGCTGCTGCCCCAAGATCAGGCTGTGCCAGGGCATTACCTGCGTATCTCCTTGTCTCCCTCCAACACCAGCAGCCGGAGGACTGCAGAACACCGTCATCGGGGTGTGCCGCTGAGCACAGGTCAGCATGCTGCAGGAGGTCTCACTGCCGGCTGTGTGACAGCGTCCCAAGGGTCTGCAAGTCACCTCTAAGCAAACAAGCCCTGGTGGGAAACAAGCTTGTGGCTGTTTTGGGCACTGCAGCTGAATGTCACAGCACCCTGGTCACACTCTGAGCACTGTATTCTGTGCCTGTGTATGGGGTGGCTGTGGTTAGGTGTTAGCAGTGACAGTAATATGTGAGCCAGCATCAGCCAGATTTTGCTGGGGGTGGGTGGCAGTTCTTAGGCTCAGCTTTGTCAAGCATTCAATTCATGCTTCAGGCTGAGGCTTTGCACATGGGATCTCGCCTCCACTGCAGGCTGATGCTGCACTCGCCCCATCAGTGACACGCTGCCTGGTCAGGACTTTCCTGCTTTCTCTCTCAGACATGTTTACTGAGATCTGTTCTGCAGGGAAGGAAGAGGGAATTTGAATCTTCCGTGTCCTGAGGCCAGGTATTTCCTTGTTCTTCTGCTCTCAGTCAGTGGAGCGCAACAGATCGGTATCCCCCTTCCACTACTGGAGATGGGTGTTAAGGTAGCAAGGCTGAGGCAAACAGGGCAAATGTAAAGCAACCCGACCTTCTGGACTAGCAAAGCTGGGTGTGCAGGGATAAGCGTCATCTTGAAGGCTGCACAAACCCAGGTGAAAGCCCAACCGCCTGCCCTGGCCTTGCTGTGGCGCAGGACGGCACGCCAGTACTGAGTCACTCTTCCAGCAACAGCAGGAGCTCCTTGCTAGGCTGCTCCCTCGCCTGCCCAGGTCCTGGCCCCTGGGGGCAGCTACCCGCTGGAAAGAGGAGGGGGATTGGGAAAGCAGGGCTGATCATGGGAGCAGCGTGCATAGAAGTCATAGTGCGAAGGAGGGGGATTACTGCTAACCTGGTCCAAGCTGTACTCAATTTCCCCCTTGCAAGGGCCTTGGCTTGTTTTTACAGGCACATGCCTGTATACTAGGTATGGCACTGACACAGTCGCTGGGCAGGAGTTGGGGAGAGCCTGTGCTCGTTTCCAAGTAATCCCAGGGGAGGCCCATGGGCCTTCGCAAATCTAAATTTGTTTTAGCTAGACTGGGCAAAATAGTTCATTTGCTAATACTAGGATGATGACAGTGTGGCTGTAATGTTTGTTTATCATTGTAGGGTTGCTTCTAGCTTCTGGGACATTGAAAGATTTGGGGTTTATTCTTTAAAAAAAAAAAAACCTTCAAAAAAAACCCCCCAAATCCCCAAACAAATAGTCCACTGTGGCCCTGTTTGGCATGCAGGGAGCCCACCGGAGGGTGACACAGACTTTCCAAACACTGAGCTCTGAAAAGGGAGAGCAGAGAGCATAGCAGTTTGGGCATGTATCTTTTTATCCCTTTACATGAATAATGGCAACTCCTTATTCTGAGGTGTGATTTTTTTCAAAGGGGCAGCAAAATTTCTGTTCAGGCAGGTAACTCTCCTGCCTTTGCCTTCCTCCATGGAATCCAGGAAATCATTGTGTGCCCACTAGCTTGGGATCCTAAGTATGACTGGAGCATCACATAAAAGGCAATGCCAAGGGAGGCCTCCCCTCAGTGCAGAGCTGGAGTTGTAAATGGCTTGGTGGGTGAGGAAGCATATTAGTGGGCGCAGACAGAGCTGAAAGAGGTCAGCTCTATGCAGCAGGTCTTGGCACGAGGCTATACCACTGTCTCAGTGACTCTTGTTTGTTCCCCACCTACAGGCTATGCACTGGAGAAGAAAGTAGTCAAAAGCAAAATGGGGGAAAAAGTTGGCCTGCCTTGTTGTCATGAAATTCCCAGCTCAGAAAGCCTATATAATTACCGGGTCTACTGGCAGAAGAACACCACGGAGGTAGTGCTTGCCTATGCAGCGGGGAAGATGATCTCCAAGCTCGAGCGGTATGAGAACCGGACAGAGATGGATGACAGGAACCTCACCCTGTGGATCTCCCCTGTGGAAATCCTGGACAATGGCCCTTACCAGTGTGTAGTTCAGCACCTTGGAATTTTGCAGAACCCAGTTGTTGTGTGTGATGAGCCTGTCACCCTTTTTGTTACAGGTAAGTGGATTGCCTCCCGACACATGGGGCTCTCTGGTGCCAACCTCTTGGGGTAAGAGGCACTTCTCCAAGCTTTAGTCATAGCATAGCAGACAGACTTTCATCAGGAAACCTAAAAGAGTGCTGGAAGCTGTGTTAAGGTCCCTGTATTTCCATTCTAGCAGCCGCCCTCCTTACCTTTCCAAAGCTACACCAGGTACAGAAAATTTGCCTTTCCCACCACCAGCCCACCATCCCCCACCTTGATGCCTCCCCTCTCCCTGGGGCAAGGATCCCTCCCAGGATACCTCCCCAGGTACACTGCTGGTGGGTGCCATAGGCCGCCTCTGCCCCCTGCTGTCTTTTGGGCAAGGCAGAGACCAAACCTTTGGTGCACAGGAAGCGTCCAAGCTGAAAGAGGAATGGGGTGGTATTGCTCCTCTGTGGCCGCAGGAGCCATCCCAGCCCTGCATCCAACCCCTTGGGAGTTCAGGCTCTCCAGGGGGCTGGCCACCTCGCTGGCTACACTGCAGCTTCACAGCCTGAGGCTGAACTCAGCTGGAGATTTGAGGCTTTTTACCTTAAAGAAACAACCCAAGTTCCTTTGCTCAAAACGAATCTGAATCTTTTCTTGGAGGCTACAAAAAGTTCCGTTGACATTATTTTCCATTTTCCACCACTGTTTTCGTGGCGGTTGGTTTCAACCAAAGGCAGAGGTACTGGTAACATGTACAAATATATACATATATTTGAATACCTTTAGCAGCAGAGAGTTCCAGGAATCTTTCAGACAAGCTAGTGAATGAGCATTCCCCATCTGGAATGAGAGTCGTCAGGAAAAAAAAAAAGAAAACCAGGCTTTTGAGGTTTGGCCATTGCCTGCCTGTCTGAGGGCATGGTGGGCATATGTACAAGGAGACAAATTTAGTGATCTTTCTGGGAACCGATATGAAAAAAGGGAAGTGCCCTCTCTAGCTGTGAGGGCTGAGGAGTTAACTGCATGAAAAATGTGAAACAACGGATGTCTTTTCCTCCCGACAAATACTCCAGTTTCTTTCCTTCCAGAAATCCCCTTGCTGTCTTAACAGGTCAGTTGTAATAATTGTGGTAGACTTCTACTCCCTTTGGAAAAGTGGGATCGGTTATTGTGGGGATCAGGAAAGGAAAAGCTCCCCTTGCCACTTCTGGAATCAGACTACCCTGCAAGAGGCAGAAAGGTTGCTCCCTGGTGACTGATCAGGGAGCCTCAGTGAAGCTGGCCAGGATGTTTGAAGGGACTTTCCAGACTGGATGTCAATGCTGTATTGCTCAACAGATAGTGGGCCTGGGAAGAAATCTGGGTCTCTTCTCGTCTGCCACTTCTTGGCCGAGCAATGTTGAGGAAGTTTCTTTCACTAGTTACTCAGTAGCCTAGACCATGGGTTCGTAGCCAGCATAAGCTGTGGAAGACGTGCTACGACCGCAAGGCTGTCTGCCTTATTCCAGCAGTCATGTGGTCAAATGGCGAGTCAGACAGGGAGCAATCTCAGACAAAAACCTTATCTGCTCCAAAAAATCATTTTGCAGTGAGTTGAGCAACCTGCTGCCACTCTCTGCCTGGCCTTGCCATGGCTGGGGCTAGTGCCTGAGTGGGTGTGCAGGCTACGGACCTACAGCTGGCAGGGGTGGGAGGGAGAATTTGGTCCCTTTGGCAGCGGTGGTGTTGGCATGACTTGTATTCACCAGGAAGCCACATGCTGAGTTTCTTTTTCTGACTGGTGCCTCTCTTGCTAAAGGTGTGGTCCCGTGCAGATTTTTCCAGTGGGAGGGTTGCCTTAAATAGTTCCTTTGTGACCCCTTGCTTCCTATTCCTCACCCTGGGCTGTTTATTGCAACTGTTTACAGTGACACGATGAACCAGATTGGCAAAGGGAAGCAGGCTAAAAATGACACCACCTTTCTTCTCCCTCTTCACTCATATTACTCCTCTCATCCATTTCACTGTGCAGCCTCACAAACACCTAGAGCAATACATCTGTCCAGGTGGGAAGGCATGGAACAAGCTGTGTGGGTGGGAAACCTCTGAAAACTGTCTTTGGCAATGAGAAAAAAGTCCAGTGAGAACATGGTCTGAGAGGATCTGTGTATTGCTACGTATTTTTGTAGTGACTAGTATGATTGGGTCTTGCTCTCAGTTTGGCCTTCTGTAGGGTCTCTCATGTAGAAAATGTAATTCAGTCTCTTGCTGGCCACCCCGGCTGAGAGACCAATGTGTGACTCCCCTCCTTTCCCAGCGGAGACGTACCCTCTGTGAGCGTCTGGCTGGGAAGGGACAAATGAGGAAGGGAAAAGGAAATTGTCTACTGTTGACTGTCCGTAATACAGAATTTTATTCAGTCCTGTATTTTTCCTACCTGTTTTATGATTCCTTCTGTTGTCCCACAAACTGCTGTATGTAGAGAGAAATGGCAGCACTGGAGAGGTGGGGTCATGAAGTCTGTGTACTGTCCAGGGAGGAGAAGCAGCAAAGGCCAAGGCCATATTCAGTCGAGGCTGTGGGGAGAACACTAAGGCAAAAGAAAGGCCAGACAGATTATGATAGAGGAAGAATGCCTTGTGGGGGAGTCTTTGCTTTGACTGTGGGTGATCAGGACTGCAGCCCTCGCTGTAATCTGACAGAACGGTAACTAAATCTTTCTTGCTTCAGCTGACTTCAGTAACCCGAACATAACAGCAGAAGTATCCAATCATTCTTGTGAATCAGCTGAGATGGTGGTAAGCTGTTCTTCTCACGGAGGTTTCCCCAAACCCAAAATCTCTGGAGCCGTCAACAACATGTCCCTGATGTGGAATACCAGCAGGGTGTCCAAGTCCAGCCTCGGCCTGTACAACGTCACTGGCAAACTCTGGCTCAACATCACCAAAGACGTCAGCTTCACTTGCTCCATTGAATACAATGGCTTTGTCAAGTCCAGCAGTTGGCTTCTGAGTAGGTTTTATTAATAGTTTGTGTTACAAAACCATTTTGTTTCATCTGCTGAGTTGCGTCTCTGAGAAAGCAGTGATTTTTTGTATCTGTTCATGCAAGGATGACCCAATGATCCTGCCTGCGAGCTGTACACCAAAATATTTGAAAGGCTGTAAGACAGCAGGGGTGGGAGAGGAGAGTTACAACAGCAACTGACAAGCAGAGATGGCTCTGTCTTCTTGCTGCTCTACTGTGAGCCACAGCTGGGCTGTTGGGCCAACTGGATCCTGTTGTGATCTGGTGATGCCAGCCTCAGTGGCTCCTACAGACTGGGGTTGTCACCATTCTGTGCCCCTCCATACCAGCACGGTCTTGCTCCCAGATGCATGGCACGGACCTGGTATAAGAATGGAGGGACTTGAAAAATTTGTATGCCTTAAAAGTCACAGGTTGCACTTAAAAAGAATTTCCTCATTTAACAAGCATGTTAGTTCCTGCTTCAGTGACAGAAACTGTCAGCTGGGGTCTAGACAAAATTCTGCTTTCATACACATATTTAATATAGGGTTAACTCATACAGAAAAAAATCCATCACTGCATGGCTTAGAAGTGATAACATAATAGATAACTCTGTGCTTTGAAAGCTTGAGGCCCAAGTGAAAACAGCATGAGGGAGGGCAGCAGCACACTACAGCACACATAGATGTTTTGCAGTCGAAGGGGATTTGCAAGAAAATTCTTAAAGCCAAAAGGATTTTTTTTTAATGTTGTTACCAAAAAAGTATTCTGAAATGTCTCTGGGTCTGATGTTTTCACTGTCGAGATAAGGGCACCTTCAAGGAAAGCTGGAGAAGCACTATTTTTCCTAGGGAATTGTACCTTATTCATCAAGGTACCTTATTCATCAATCTTACTACAATCAAAGGGGCTCGTGAGGAGAGGTGCCATTCAGCTTCAGGACAAATGCCAGAAACTAGTGCTTTATGAATATTGGTTATTGCTGGATGTAGTGCGTAATGTCCCTAGAGATGGTAATGGAAAAAGGTTATGAATATCATACTACATAGAAAAGGAGAGCAATGGAAAAAAACAAAAAAGTAATACACTGTTGTCACACAGATTCTCAGAGGAGGGTGCAATCAACAGTGACAACAGCAGTCACAAAACCCCTGCTTTTTGATTTTTAAGATGTGGAACCACTCCCATTCTGGTATGGTAGAAATGGTCCTCCAAACGAGTCTTTCATGAACACGGAGTTCCAGACAGAATACAGCCTCTGGTAAATGTAGGAGGCAAACTCTACAGTGGAGGGGAAGATTGTACAGTGGATCAGGCTAGTGTCTTAGAAGTTGAATGATGCTTAATTGTGCGAGTTGTAGATGATAAAAATCCGGAGACCTATGAACATGCACCAAGCCTGTCCCTCCTGTTGAATTAGGGTTGTCTTGTACTGTACAAGAATGGCCTGTTATCTACTCTAATGTCCAAGTGGCAGAATGGTTGTCTCCAGTGGTGGAAAGCTAAAGGCTCCAGATCCACTGAAACTGAATTCTGCCACAATGCTCTTTTCCTGCCATGCAGAAAAAAGTCTGTTCTGGTCTGTTTAATGCATCATTCTCCATCACTTGTGAATTCAGAGGGGAAAAATATTAGTAGGCATAAATCTGGTGAAAACAGTAAGAAAAACTGCAGAGTACCTTTGAGAATGGAAGTTTTCTAGATACAGACTCAGACTTTTCCACCAAGCCTAACCAGTTTCTTTAAAAACAGCTTATGTGTTTTTAAATATTGCCTGTCTTAGTCCTATTCTGGGCAAAGACCCAGCATTTTAGATTCTGTGGATATGTTAAAAATTTCAGCACATAGCAAATGTGGAGGGGAATGGAAGAAATTTAGGTGCCAGCGTTGTCTGTCTCTTTATGGAATAGGTAAATTTTCAGGCTGAATATCTGAGTTGGAATTTGGCCAGAACCACCAAAATTCACATACCTGCTCTTACATGAAAATGCCAATATGTTGTTGGGCCCTTTATTTATGTTTTATTTCTTCTGTCTCAGAAAAACCAAATGAGTGTGTTGTCCATACTGTGCCTCCATCTTATAATGTTATTACTGCTTCAAGTATCATTATTATCGTCTTCCTTTTGGCTATCACCCTAGCAGCAAGATACCTCCCAAGGCATGGTAAGTGCATCTCCTTTTTCAAGAAACAGTCTCTTACTGCTTATGGAGTTTCTATGCAAAATACACATTTATAGAAACTATACTGACACAGTAGGTATTTTTGTACCTTCTTCTCATTTCCTTTTTTTTTTTTTTTTTTTTTTTTTTTTTTTTTTTTTTTTTTTTTTTTTCATGCAGCATCTACTGTCACAAAATCTAAGTCCAGCTCAGGACTTTCCTACATTTTGTGTGCAAGCAGCACTAGGGTTCAGGTTTGAGAGTGAAGGGATGATGGGGAGTTTTGACAGCAGATCAGAATATTTCCAAAATCAGGGGTATACAGAATTGAAAAGATTCATGTATTAAGATGCTTGAAGATGCCAAGAATCTTGGTGATCACTATAGATACGTCTGAGCACTAACAGTTTTGAAATGGGATCTCTTTACACACTCTACTTAGACAATCCCTTAGTAAAGTCACAGAGCCAAAGTCACAAAGATACTTAGTGCCAGGGCCACAGAAAGGACTTAAGCATAGCAATGTCCCACTTTTAGGAGAACCCTGATCAGGAGAGACGGATTTGTCTTTTTTGTGTAGCCAAAAATGGCACAGGTGAGGTGCCCAGTCCCAGCCTATGAAGTCTTCAGTAACTCCAGACATGTCTCCAGGAGTTTTTCACTGGCAAAGGGAACCTCAGCTGGCAACTGAGTGGATTTTTTCTTTTTTGTGGCTCAAAAGAACCTCATCTGTTAGCTGTTGCTCCTAATCATGTCTAAGCTGAGCTATCCAGAAAGCCCCTGAAGATATGGGCCGACATCTAATGGATTTATAAAGGCAGCTAGGCATCCAGCCAGTATTGAAAGTCAACAGCAGAAAATGTCCTATCCACACAACCTGTTAGCAGCTTTGAAAAGCAGTCCTGGAGAAAGACAGTAGGCCTTGCAACACGTTATAAATGTCACCCAATCAAGTTCTGTCAGGTCACTGGGGAAGTCAAGTCTGAAGACAAGAATCCCACACTGAGAGTGCTCTATGTTCAGCCTACTTAAACCAGAAGCCATCAGTCTGAGCGTCTTAGCTCATCACGGTTGCAGTGGTATCCCCCATTGGAAAGAGGTTATTTGCCAGGCATCAGGGACTCAGTTCGCTTAAGAACACTTGGAAGTTTGTTATGCTTGTGTCTTGTGCTGCCTCTGTTTCAGCTTCAGACAAGTTCACTCCCAAGTCAAAGGTGCGGAGGTGGCATTACTATTTTTCTTTTCTCCTCCTCACCAAGCACATCCCTTCAAAACCCAGTGAGACCACTGAGTCAGGCTGGGCTAATTTTCTTTTTGGTGCTTTATCACCAGGGTGGGTTTAGACTAGATAACAGGGTAGGTTTAGACTAGATATAAGGAAGAAATTCTTTACAATGCGGGTGGTAAAACACTGGAACGGGTTGCCCAGAGAGGTAGTGGAGGCCCCATCCCTGGAAACATTTAAGGCCAGGTTGGACGGGGCTCTGAGCAACCTGATCCGGTTAGCGGTGTCCCTGCTCACTGTAGGGGGGTTGGACTAGATGGCCTCTAGGGGTCCCTTCCAACCCAAAACATTCTATGATTCTATGATCACAAAGAAAGGAAGCTTCTGGAGGGCAGTGACTCTTTGGCTACACCTGTGCACCTCCTCAGTTTCCACTCATGTGCCCCTATGACACCAGCGCTGGTTCTCCTCTGCTGTTCCCTGGGGCTCTGTCAACGGGAAAGCAGAAAGCAGGTTGAAACCAAGAAAATCAGAGCTGATTGCAGCCTGTGCTGTTAGCTGCGTGGGTAATGAATTTCTAATTGTAGGAGAAAATGAACTGGAATTGGAAGATTCGGCTCTAAACAAACAGAGGCTGGAAATTAAAAGGTTTTTTACCATTAAATCAGTAAGATTCTGGAGCATTCTGAGACAGCCTTTTACATAGACACCAAATTGCTTTTAAAGTAGATGTAAAAAGCATGCCAACGTGGTAGAATGTGATCACCTGCAACAGCATGGGACATGGCTGCATAAACTGGAATTCCCCTTTCAGTCCCATTTTCCTAATATGCACAGGGAGTAGATTTGCTGAGTCAGGTGGTGCTATTTTGTACAGCCACTTTCCAGACTGGGCGTATACTGTAAGAAACTGAAGCTAGACCTTCAATCCAACTTCCCAGTTTGCACAGTTGCCACATTTTGGTGCTGCTGTGCATTGCTGCCTGTCTGGGAAGGGAAATATCTGTCCCAAGAGCGCTTCCCGCTGGTGTTGCTACAGGTCACCTTTCAAGAGCTATTGTGGGAGCTCAGAATAGGTCTGAGAGTACGTCTATTGTTCTGGCATAGGGAAAGCTGAGTCGGGAGCAGCCTTGATGCTAAGAGTGTTTTCTGAGCTCAAAAAGCCATGCTTGAAAGAGCTGAAGTGTAGGAGGGAAGGATAGAAAGATAGAGCAAAACGGAAATAAGAGTTCTCAGATGTGTGATTGTGGTGGTGACCAAAACATGTAGATGCTTTGTTGAGGTTCACAACCCCCTACTTTGAGGAGCTCACAGCTGATCTCTGCAGCAATTTAATGGAACGCTCTAGATTTTTCTTTTTTTGGGTCTTCAATTAATTTAATGAAAAGCACCAAGATTAGAGGTCACTTAAAGAACAGCTTAGCATCCATGTTGTAACATTTGCACAAGCACAATTTGCTGTAATAGTACAGAGAGATTCAACTTGAATTTTTAAAAGTCATTCATAGATGCTGAGATAGTACGGGGACCTGTTTAATCTGAACTCCCTTTAGAGCACTGAAAGAGTTGGTTGGCTGGTTCTAACACTGGTGTTCTTCTACTTCCTTCGTAAACTGCATTTAGTGACATACAACTTTTACCATTATTCCCCTTCTGACCTTATCTTAGCATGTAGCAACCTGTCTTTGTGCCAGGCTGAGGTCCTAGCCCTGTGCTAATGAGAACCGTTTTATCCATATGACACTATATAGATAACACTTACACGTAACGGAGCATTCTATCAGACCAGACTGTGGCTATGGGCCAGCCATATTAAAATGTACTGCAGGGATGAGTCCTGCCAAGGAAAAATAGAAGTAACTAGACCTAAAAGATTTTTTTTTTCTTTAATTTCTTCTCTCCTTTCTTCGCACTCTCAGTTATACTTTGTTGAAGAAATTTGGATTCAGCGCTTCTCTGTCTTCTGGAATTCCAAATACTAATGAGGGATCTTATTTTTCAGTCTGTTCTCACTGTTGTGAGCCTCAGGATTCAGTGGAAGAGGGTGTGAAAGAATGTATGAAGCCATCTATGAGCTCTAAAGTGACGTCTGAAACATCATCTGTATGACCAGATCGCATTTGCAGGTAGTTTTCTTCACCATTCTTCTCTTGGCAACATAGCTTCTCAAGTACTATTAGATTCTCATGCAATGTTAGCTCACAAAATCATATCTGGCTTTTAATATGAGTGTGTGCTGTCCTTTAGGGTAAATAAAAGTGATAGGGCCCTGTTGCCAGCTCAGACATGTGGTGTTTCCCAGTCAGGTAACGAGAGGAATGATGCTCATGGTGCTCGTGGGCCATTGCTTTGTTTGGGTTACTTCAAATTTCTAGAAATGAGTGTAGTGAAAAATGTTAGAGGACCAAATTTCCCGGGTTGCAAAGCTGCTTCGTCCACAGAATGGGCCCCACATGGATGGTGTGCAAGTTTTTGTGGCATTCATTTCCTTAATTAACATACATTTTTAGGGACTAAACAGGGGTGGAGAGAGAGGGAGATAAAAGAAAACGAACATTTGACAACTTTGATTGTCAGTGTCTCCTCTGAACCTCTGTAAGGAAGCTGGTTAGTATCTGAGAGGTGGGTTGTAGTACAGTCATCCGTCTATCAGGACCTGCAGTGACATCCCCTGCCACTGCCCTTGTCCTCATTTTATGGGCCTCCCAACTAAGAACTGGGCAGTCTTTTAGTTCCTGTCCCGTTGGACTCATTTATGAGTAGCTCATCACTACCACAGGTCCCACGTGTAGCTTCATCCCCTAGAGGTTATTTCTGGCTGGTGCCCTGTGAACCATGCACCTGATTTGATGCATAGACATGGGAATATCGCTGATAATAGAAATGAAGGATTGACCAAATGGAGGTGAGGGAGAGGTGAACAAGAGAACAACTTCAGCGTTCCCAGTAAGATTAGCAATGCCAGTCCACTTCTGAGATATCTCCATTCCCTTCAGCAGCTGGAGGAATGGAGAAAGAAGTTTCCCCTCTGAGCCTTGCCCAGGAAACACTCGTATTTTAGGAGTTACTTTTGATAATGAGATGTTGTGAAGGATGGGCTGGGGAAGAGTCTGGCTTACCAAGGTTTTATGACTGCAAAGCATTATATTCATTTTGTCTTGAAAGCTCAGCTGTGTTCAGGGCTGTGTCCTCCAAAAAGACATTTTTCAAGTCAAGAGACTGAAGGAAAGATTAGCAGCTAACTTCTTATTCACATCGTTATCCAGGTGACTGCATTTCCCGCTCTCACCGCAGCATGCTGAATTGCCAGGGTAATGCCAGAGAGTAACAGCTATAGAGTCCTAGAAGTCATGAATTTGTCACGCTGTGTGTTGCAGTAATCTAAAACCTTAACGTTTTTGAGATGGAAAGGAGGGGAAACTATCATTCAGGCCACCCGTCTCATTTCCAAACTTGACCACCCACTCATGTTTTCCTCTGGGGAAGGCCCTATCTGGAACAGATACTAGAGCCTTGGTTAGCATGAATTCTGGGGGGTTTTGTGGTGGGAGTGGCAGGAGTTCACCTACTGAATAAATCCATTCTGCCACATTCCTCTTTTGTTATAAAAGTTTGCCAGGCTTTTTCTGTAAGTGGCTGGTGTTTCCCAGCGCCGGTGCCTGGAACGGCTGCTGTCTGTGGACGGGGATGGAAGCTGTGCTTCCTCAGCGTCTGTCACCTCTTAGCTGCATGATGCACTGAGCCATGTCCTATTGCTGCTTAAATAGGGTAGTGCGTTTGTTAGTCATCCTTGCTTCACAGAGGGATAGCACCTCTGTACCATCCAAAGGGTTTCACAGTAAGCGTTGAGCCAGTACGTAGCTCGCTGTAGTGCCCGTCCTGAGCTCTGAACAGCTCTGTCTTTACTGTAAGAGGAGCCCTCTTGTGGAGGGCTATCGCAGGTGATCCCCATGCGTCTTGCCTCCGAAACGTTCGGGCTTCTGTTTAGGGTTGAGAAGAAGAGTGGGGGAAAATCAGTAAAATATCTTCTTTGCATCCCTCAGGTTTCTTATCCTGTGTATTCCGCACTGCAGTCCCCACTGTTCGTTGTACAGCAATGCTTATTGCGTTGACCCTTTGGCTCTCTGAAAGGGGGTGACAGCAGTAGAAAACTCTGCTAAAGAAGACTGACAACATAATCTCGTGTGAATGAACACAAAACCCCACCTGTGCCACAGAAGCTGTGGGGTAGTCTCGTTACAATGGGGTCACTGGAATTCCCACCGGGAGGACCCTCCGTGTTCCTGCAACAGGATGGAAGAAGAGTGTCGTCAGCAGCAACAGAGCAGTTCAAGAGTTCGGGATCCTCTGGTTTGATGCCGCCTCTATGAAAATCAGGGGGCCTGCAGAGCCCTAGCAGGTAGCCCACGCCCACCTCACCCCTTTAGTAACGCAGAGCTGGCCTTTGGGAGACCCCAGACCCTGACACACAATCTCAAGTCAGGCTGTGCCTCCATGTTGCGACTGGGAGCAGCTAAACCTTCTTTTATTTTGAGCCTCGCATGGGTATCTGCCAGTACTGTTCTTTGTGCTGGATGACTTTGGACTTGGACTTGACCATTACAGATACGTGTCCCTTCTCCCCTAAAGAGGCAGTAATGCACACACTTTTCCTGAAAAAGCACCTTGAGGTGGGACTATATGCCTCATGCTTATTTTCAGTGCTATGAGACTTTTTAGGGAATGATTGCATACTGATGGCACACCTAACAGCTAACTAATATTGCTTAGTGGCAGCAGTGGCAGAAGTTCTCATAACCTTTCTCTCCTGAAAGGACGGCCTCACCAACCCGGGCACCGAGATGCAGCTCCAACGTTAAATTACTCGACAAAACAGGAGCACAGCTGGCACGGCGCAGCCCACTGGTGGAGGCGCGTGTGAGCACACGCCTGTGCACACCTTTGCGCACACGCACACATACAAGCTTTTAGATGCATTCCTTCCTACCTGCGCTTGCGGAGCCCCATTTAAATGTCTGTAACACTGGGTGGCTATCTCGTGTGTATCTATGGTAATGAGATATAACGCAGGGCCTCGCTTCCCAGGGGGCCAAGAAGGCCAATGGCATCCTGGCCTGTATCAGGAATAGTGTGGCCAGCAGGAGCAGGGAAGCGATCGTGCCCCTGTACTCGGTGCTGGTGAGGCCGCACCTCGAATACTGTGT